AAGGTGGCCGGCCATAATCCCTAGGTTTGTACCTTCACCGAAAAAATTGTTTAGTTGCCAAATCTCAATCAACGGCGACTAAAATATTAGTCACTAAAAGTAAAAATTTGGCGACTAATTTTTTTTGGTTGCTGAAAATAAGTTTTTGCCAAAAAATATGTGACCTTCCGCGACCAAATTTGTAGTTGGTCGGCAAAAGTATACAACTTTCTGCGACCAACTCATTTTTTGGTCGCCAAAATATAACCTGCTGCAACCAATAATATTTGGTCGCCAAAAATAATGATCATTCGCGACTAATTAATATTTGGTCGCCAAATGTCATTTTTTTGTGACCCAAATTTTTTTAGTCGGCAAAAGTGGTCGGCAAATGTGTAAATTCTTGTAATAAATTATCAAGTTAATTAACAGTTTTTAATAATGTTAAAATTTTATTTCAATTAATAATTCAGATAATTTTATTATTGTATAGGTGAACAGTTAGAAATTTCACTTTTTTAATTAATTCTGTTAAATAAAAAATTCTAAAAGTGAAGTATTTGTAATTTTTCAAACCACAGAGGACAAATCGTATTTTAAGCAATCTCAGGTGATGTATTTATAATTTACCGAAATATGAGAAAATGAAAAAATTATTATTTGTATTATTATTTGAAAGGGCGAGACATTTTTACCTTATTTTAAAATATTTTTAATTAATTAATTTTCAAAGCACCTTTCACCCTAATTCTAATATTAAACGCACTTGTTAGCATTTGTCGACACATAAACATAATTTTTATTGCATAAATAGAGGTAAACAATGAAAAAATAAAATTATGAAATAAATCTAAGCCTCCGTTTGGGAAGTGGGTTAGTTTTTTGGCTTTTTGACTTTTTTGGCTATTTTAGCCTGGGTTTAAAAGCTTGGTTTGAGAAGAGCTTTTTGGCTTTTTAGCTTTTTTGAGTTTTTTTGTGAGAGAAGAATGTAATGATTATGGGTTGGATGTGATATTTTGTTTGTTAACTGCTGGAAATTCTGGTTTTAGAGGCGTTTAAAAAACGCCGCAATAGGTCCTAAAAACGCCGTTAAATATTTTTGTGGCGTTTAGCACCAAACGTCGAAGATGCGGCCGTCGCTATAACTCTGTGACGCTTTATAAACGTCGCTATATGCCAATAGGCGGCGTTTTCTAAAAACGCCGCTAAAAGTTCTGCCAACGGTAACATGACGTCATCATGCTATTTAGCGACGTTTTAAAAACGTCATCGTATATCTGATGCTATTTAACGACGTTTTTAGAAACGCCGGTATAGCCCCTTTTTTTTTCTTTTTTTTTTTTTTTTAACCAACAAGGGTTGGTTTAGTTGGTAAGGTTCCTTCCCTTCGCCCATTTGGCTTAGGTTCGAGTCCCGCTACCGGCAGTCCTTTGATGGTGGGTAATATTGCATAACGCTTTCCCTGGCCCTGGAGTGTGGTAGCCTCCCCTCCTCCTAAACTTTTTTTGAATCAAAAAAAAAAAAAACATTTTTTTTTTTTTTGACAAAAATAACCACATGCTTTGACAAATTTTTTTTTTTTTTGAAAAATCAATCAGTATATTTTGGTTTTAATTTTTTTAATTTAGTATTTTATTTTTCATGTTTTTTTTATTTTTAATGAATATTTTTTAAATTTTAAACAATCTTTTTTACTTTTTTTAGATACGACTTACTTAAATATATCTAAAAAATAAAATATTTCTAATAAAATATTTTAAAAAATCAATAAATATACAAGAATATAAAAAATGTACTGAATTAAAGTATTTTTTTGTATTTTTGGTATTTAATAAATTTTTTTACAAATATTATATTTTTTAAGTATATTTATGTTAGGCCTATCTAAAAATTAAAAAAATATTAAAAAAAATTTAATGAAAATAAAAATATATAAAAACAAAAAAATTTATTTTTTAAAAAATAAATCCTGAAAGGTATTCCATTTGGAAGATTCCCTGCTTGGTCCAGGCTGTTTATTTAGGTCAAGTTTGGGAAGACTAAATAAGTGTACTTTTTGATTTTTTATGAAATATGGGTTGAATTTGGGTTGGGTTTGAAGTGATGTGTTAGAGAAGTGATGTGATTTAAATAAAATGATATGACTTAAATAAGATAGTAACTTTTTGACTTTTTAAATTTTTTGGAGGATGCCAAACTTGGCCTTATTGATTGGTCCAGCCCCTTAAAATCATATTTCACTTCCTAGCTCTCAAAATATGGCGCCAATGATTTAATATTACGTCATTTTTATTCTAGACATTTGTTAGTCAACTCTCTCTTGCCGTCTATAACAGTGAACCAATATGTAAAAAAAAATAGAATCATATTCATAAACAAATTTTCATTAACTCAATAATCTGCTATAAAGTTTGGCATTTTGATAAACAATAATTCTAGATATAATATTCCAGATATAATGAAAATTTAAGTAAAATTTTGATGAATTTTGTTCATATATTACAAATCTTGAATAAAATTTTTAAAAAAATTTCTAATTACAGAACACAAATGTTTTGTAAAAGAAAATCACTAATTTTTGTTTATTATCGAAAATCACCAATTTGTCAAATGAGATAAAATAAATATACAAGCTGTAGAAGAATAATTTTATGAACTAAATCAAAGCTTTGGTATTATTTTTATCGTGAGTCTGACAAGTCGTATTATTAAAATGATAAGTATAATATATAAAGAAATAGTTAATTGACGCAAATCTCTCATTAAAATATTAGAAGTGCTACAGACCCCACGACCCCATGCACCTGTGAGGGAAAGAAAGGGCACTTGTGAGAGAGAGAGGAGAAAAAAAAAAATACATAATGAGTGGTTACCAATCAATTGAGAGTTATGCACTACAACAAAAATAATTTTGGCAACACAACAAAATTCGTCACCAGAAGGTAGAAATCGTCGACAAAGAGCTTTGCCGACCCGTAGAGCTTCGTCGGTAAGCCGTCACCAAAAGTGTGTCGGGAAAAGTTTTTACTGCCGAAAAATTTATTGTATCGCCAAAAGTATGTCTTTTGTGACAA